CATCAGTGTCTAGTGATATGGCCAACTGTCCACTCTTCCATGCCAAATACAGGAGGAAATGAGAACAGGAAGAAACCAAGTAAGCATGGCGTCCACTGCAAGACAGAAGTGACAAGATTAAAAAGCCACCCTGCAAAAAGTGAGCTACTAGCTTTGGGGGACAGAAAGCAACAGTGAGGTTAAAGATGAATAGATACTAGTTACATTAGCATAGACGTGTGAACTGTGCTGCTGTAGCTACACCATCCATCTGTCCTGTGCACTAAGCACATCCAGCAGAAAAGGACTGGGAAGAGTTCAGTCTACGAAGCACAGACACGCACCTCCTGCCTCAGCCTGAATCTGTCCTTTGATGTAATTAGCAGAGAAAACAGGCTGCTCAATAGAGCACCCTTTCACCAAATAAAATGGCATCATAAAAGACAGCATGGGATCCTCGCCCTTGGACACGAAGATCATCTGCAAGACAGGAAGGAACACTCTGGAATTAGTTAATCAGGTTATGGAGTCCTAGTTGCAGCAGCATCCAAAAACAAGATAATGTAACCCCTACTACCAGAACATATTGTGTTGTTTCACAGCAGTCATGCAATGGGATGCCAAACAGATCAGAGGGCATGACTCACTCACATGAACACTGCAGGTTCCAAAACGGCATACTGTTTAGGACACACACAGACATTTCATTTTAAAGGATAATTTATGAGAGTTTTCCAGTGAAGTAATTACCTACTAACATGTTGCATTAAATCACAACACGGTGATTGGGACAGACACAGACTCAGACTGCCCTATTTCCACCAGGCTTTCTCTTATCTAGGATTTACAGTGGTTCCTCCCATAACAAAAATCACTTCTCCTGCCTCCAGCTATGATTGTTGTCCAAAGCCTGTGAGACCCCTGGAGAAAAGGGAAGCCCCATTGGCATCAGACTTACCCTGTATGGTGTGAGATACAGCATTCCTTTCTTGGTGCCTTTGAAGGCTTCAGGCTTGCCAGTCACGTCACTGAAGGAGAGCTCCACATCTTTACACTGCTTGAGAATGCTAGGAGGAAATCAGACTAGTTGGAGACAACCTCAGCTCTAATGCACAGACATCCATCACACAAATCCTAAACATTATCCCAACACACTCAATTCTAACACAGGGTCTGGAGTTTTTCTTTTGGATGCACAAGGTTAACTCGTGCAGAGTGGAAGAATTCGTCCTCTCACCTTTGACAAGCCCTGCTCCTCCTCCACAAAGGGAAACTTTAAACAAGAGGAAGAGAAGCTGCCTCCAGAATGAAGCTAAAGGAATTGCTCTCTTTGCATAGGCAACAGCCTGAGTCTGAGCCTGCCAGGGCACAGAACAGGATGAGCTTTCTGATATCCACTCCTGAAGTCAAGGTATGACCTCAGAGCAAACCCCTCTCCATGATCACATCCAGGACTGGCCAGCAGAGGGGAAAACAAAATTGCCTGAATGCCACACCTACTGCATGAGCTCAGGAAATTGCTTCACAGTACCCTCACTGCTGACCCTACTTCACATGACTTAAGGAAACATTTGTGATGAGGAGTGCTGTGCTAAGGAAAAAAAAACAAAACAAGGAGCCATAAATGTCAGCAATAAGACTGTTACTGCTATTGCTGGTTATCTACAGGAACATTAGCAGACTCTGCTAGTAAAATCATGTGGGAACAAAGAGATGGGAACTGGAAACACCAGGGGTACGGAGTGACCTGAAAAATTAAATACATTTTAAGGAAAACTGAAATAATCATTCTGGGAAAGAGCATCACTGAACTGAGAGGGCAAACTCCAAACACAGCACTCAGTAAAGGAAGCTGCAGAATAAACAGAACCTTGGATGCCACAAGTTTGCCGCTTGTTTCAGTGGGTAAAAAAATCTGAGGTGTTTTTTTGGTTCAAGGGCACGGAAAAAGAAAAAACAAAACCCAAATTCAACACTGGATCTAAAGTTATTTTACACATTCCGATCAGTACATTGTAGAAATCAGATCACATCAGGAAACTACAAAATCATCAGGAAGAACCAGCAGGGCCAGGATATGTGAAAACAACCAAGAGCACAGTACTTTCACACTGCACGCTATTCAGGGAAGAGAAAACATAATATATAATAACATATATCTGAAAAATTCTGCTACCCTAGAAGGAGGACATTAAGAAGTCTAGCTTTAATGAGGTGGGGCGGGGGAAAGCCCTGACAAAAAGTCTGCAGGGACTTTATCATTCAGTTATATGTAGATTTTGTCAATGCCTGGGAGTGACAAATGCAGCAGAGATCTATTTTCAAGTTACAAAGGTGGAATATTCTCCCAAGATAAGACAAACTATCTCCTCAACACTCAGAACCTTACCAGAGTACTTCCCAAACCACATAACACAGCAGAATTTCAGGTTTGTTTGCTTCAGTGGGAAGAATTTATGTGGTCACTTAATGCTTACTCCTGCCCAAGCACTCACATAAACAAATAGCAAGACTGCCATCCATGCATGATTATGCTGCTGAGCTGGTTTGTACCCACTCAGGGCTGTCACAGGACAGCTGAGTGCCAATGGCTCAACACTGCCCTGGAGAACAGTTTGGGCTCTCAGACCTGAGCTCTACGTGGCCTGGCTCCATACTGGATTACCCAAAAAAGACCATATGTCAGACAGCACGGACCAGAAGCCCCTTGTACTCCGGCAGCCTGAGGCCGTGCGCTGGCCCCCAGCAGACCCTGACCCCCAGCCGCCCCTCTCCTGACGCAGCTCCATGCCGCTCCCTCGGGCCCCGTCGCTGTCACACAGAGCAGAGCTCAGCGCTGCCCCTCCGCTCCCTGTGAAGAGCTGCAGCCGCCATCAGGTCCCCCCTCAGCTCTGCTCTCAGCCAACCAGGGGAGCACAGCCGCTCTCCACACGCCCTGCCCTCCAGGCCCTTCGCCACTTCTACAGCCCTCTCCGGAGACCTCAAACACCCTTCAAACCGCCCCTTAACCTGAGCAGCACGAGGCGCAGGCTGCGACTACCACAGCCGGGCAGCCCTACCCACCCAGGACAAGACGCGGCCCCAAAGCCCCCAGAACAGCCCAGCAACAACCCGAACCCTTTCCCCGCCCGCGGGCCCGGCACAGGGCTTCTCCCGTGGCCGTGGGTCCGCCCCCGCCCGCCGGTACCTCTCAGCATTGGGGACGACGACACCGCCTTCCTTCGAGTGGTGCCTATTGAGCGCCATGGCTGCCGCTGCTTCCGCCGCCTGACCCCCTGTGTGTGACGTCACATCCGGCTGACGCTTCCGCCGCATGACTCTGTGTGACGTCACATCCGGTCGCTGTGGAAGGCGTGCTGTTTATTTCTGCTCGCTGCCTGGTTTCAGGGAGCTGCTTGTTGTGGGGTTTTTCGCGTGTTTTTATGCTTTTTTTTTCCTTCTTCTGGAGCGTGGAACCTTGTCAAGGAGCCCACGGGCCTCTGTTGGCCTTGAATAGGCCTGACTCGTGAGGGTCTGTGCCTTTCTGCAGGCATCTCCCCACCTGCCCTGTGCTGCCCCACTTGAAGAGCTTGTGTCTGTGTAGGGTTTGCTGTGGCATTGAAGGACACCAAGCTTGCTTTTCTCAGTGGGCCTTTATGCATCTCTTAAAAACAGTTCACTGTAGGAAATTACAGAGCAGAGCATCAAAACCACTTCATTACAACCAATCCCCCCAGAATCTTACACATACAGAGCAAACCGCGTGGCCACAGCCCAAGGTTCAGGCATGGAAGCACTTCCAGCTTTGCTGCCAGCAGTTCCAGCTCTGCCATGCCCTGACTGGGTCTGGCATCATGGCAGATGACACAGGGACATCTCTTGCCTGGTGACCATCATGCTCCAGTGATACATTGTGGAGAGCTGAAGTGGCTTGCTGGTGGCATGAGCTGGGAGGCTCTTACCCCATGACGGCTGATGTGTCTGTAGCAGCGTGACCTCTGCAAGGCCTTTATGGTGGCTGCAGATAACAGTGAGGAGCAAAGTTCTTGTCAAGGCTGAAGAAGCCTGGTGCTGAGGTGGGATGGTGGGTACGAGGCTGCGTGAAGTACTGAATGCTATGAATGTGGTGGGGGAAAAGGATGAGAAAGGCTGAGAAGACCTTCGTGTCCTGGCAGTGCTGAGAAGAGCTGGTGTGTGTGGATGGATGGGAGTGGGATGGAAGAGACATTAGCTTTGCAAAGACAGCACCACAGAAAGCCACAATACAAACACGCGCTTCTAGATGGTTTCGCAACACTTGGATCAATCTCATCCTGGCCCTGAACATCTCTGTCCACAAACCTCAGGCTTTGCTTCAGTCATGCCAGCCTTTCCAGCCTCCTCCCAACCCCACATACTTCCCTGTACTTGCAGCACTATCATCCCACACCATAACCTTCTGCATGTGCGCTGCCAATGCAACCAGATGTTCTCCTGGGGTGCAGCCCCTGGCAGCTGGGTACATGCTTCTTCTAGATGAGAGCAGACTGCCGTGCTCAGGGCAGTTGTGAGCCCTCTCAGAGGCATCATCCCTGGAGTTGTTCCAGAATCATGTGGACGTGGCACATGTGGACATGGTTAGTGGGCACGGTGGTGGTCGGTTGATGGTTGGACAAAGTGATCTTAGAGGTCTTTGCCAACTATAATGATTCTATGAATCTATAATTTAGCCTCCAGTAAAACCCTGCATATTTCTCCTTATGGGTTTTTACCTTCTCTCCATGCTTCCTCCAAGTGAAGGTGAAACAGCAGCTTTTCAATATGACACAAAAAGCACGTTGATAAGGAAGAGGTGAATGCAAAGAAGGAGGAAAGGACTCAGAAAGGGAAGATTTTGAAGGACAGAAAGTGTTGGGAGCAGAGAAAGTGAGATAAGGAGAGAAAGGGAGAAAGCTATAGAGGGTTAAAAGGGAGTGAAGACAAAAGTAAAGGAGAGGACATGGGAGGCAGGAGAGCTGTATGAGGGGCAGGGGATTAGCACAGGCTGGGGCTGCTGGGGCTGCTGGAGTGACAAACATAGATATTTTGGTGAGGAGAAGATATTTCTTGTGTTCCCATCACCAGTGGACACCAAGGAAGACATCTTGGTGTTCTTTTATTCTTTAATTCTGGAAAATACGGCTCTTTCCCCCAATTACTTTGATGTTTCTCAGATAGATGCTACGGCTCACAACCTGCCTCCTTCTACCACTCACTTTCCCTGAACCACAAAACCTGTCAATCTGTCACTTCTCCCATTTATTCACTTCCAAGGTGCCATTTCACTTTGCAAGCCACAGCAAAAAATGGAGATAAAATGCTGTGCCACCATCCTCCCTGAGCAGTCAGCTACCTTCCCACCCACAAAGAACTCTGCCATCTGCCCCAGAGTCTCTCCGTGCCACATCCCCAAGGAATAAAAACAGGACCCCAGCATGCCCCACACATCCCACTTCCAAAGCCCTCTTGCCCCCATAAGTTATTCCCCCACCCCCACTTCCCCCAGATAAGACACACAGCTGAGACACAGCAACGAGAGAAAGGAAGATGACAGACAGTCCACTGTGCAAAATACAAACCGAGAATGAGGACAGTTTGGGAAGGGCAGAGAAGATGCCTTTGGTCCCCCTCTGGCACACAGGTAGGCACACGCACACACACGCACCCTCTCACACACACAGAGGATGCTCCACACGCTTCAGAGACAGGCTCGTGCTAGAGCCAGGGGTAGCAGGGATGGGTTGTCATATCCAGAGACACCAGGTGATGTCAGGGGTGTCATTCACAGGTTACTTTCATGGTTTTCCTCTGTCTCAGAGGTCATGGGGGGCAGCCCTCCATTGTCATTCAGCCTCTTGGCCCTATAGGTCTCGTAGTGGATGTTGTGGGTCACTTCTTTCAGGTCCTGAAGGTGAGTCCTGCGTGGGACAAAGTGAAAGAGGATATGATTACCATCATCAGTGCTATCAGTGTTAGCTTTCTGTCCATCACTGTATTCTCCAGTCAGTTCTCCAGTCAGTCTGGTTAGCAAACTTACCCTCTTCCTATACAGGTGCCATAATGCAACAGAGAGATGGAATATCTGTGTGTGTAGGCAGGATGCAGGAAATGGACTATAGTCTCTCTCTGTGCCCCCTACCCTGTCACTGGGCAGCACCACTGAAAAGATGGTCTAGGATGGGGTAGTGGATTCTTTATCACTGACTTCAATCCAAACCTATGTCAGCAACAACTAGAAGTTGTTGGAACCTAATGCAATTAATAGGATTAAAGAAGGGTGCTATTACCCTGTGTTTCTTGATGTGTCCAGATCATACGTGAAAACCAGCACCTACTTGACACAGTGGTCAAGAGAGGCACTAGAGTAATACCCCTAAACTCAATCCAACCCTGCCCCACATAAGATTTTACTGCCTGAAAAGTGCTTTATCTTCCCTCCCATAAGGGCTATTTCACTCTATGTGGGTCTCAGGAAGATTCCCTTCTCATCAAGAGATGAGAATCATAGAATCATAGAATCACTCAGGCTGGAAAAAAACTCAAATATCATCAAGTCCAACCATGACCTAACCATAGTACCTAACTAAAAACCCTAAATCATGGGCATGACTGTGGCCTTACCTAATGACAAAATCTCGAAGCAGGGCAAATTCACAGTGAGTGAGGTTTTCCACTGAAAAGAAAGCAAGGAAATGTTACAATTGATTTTTCAGCAACCTGTTTGTGGTTACAGAGCATGGGATGGTCATTGCTATGGGACATGCATGTTTCAGGTGGCATGCTTCAGAAAGAATGGACAGTTGTGTGAACAGCAGACAAGCTCTCTCAGGCATTGAGCAGATATGCGGAGTGGTCACAGGTGGGTTTTCACAGGAAAACCAAGGAGATCAGCTTCACACACCCCATGGTGTTGAGGATGGTTCTGCCAGTTAGCAATAGTGGTAGCACATTGACAATGGCAGTTCTCTCCAAGCAGAGCAATTTGAGAGTTCTCTTATTGCTCAGTTTCAAACAAACAAACAAACAAAAACCAACCACAAAGGCGAAAGGCATGGGAAAATAGCTATGGGAAGTGTTATCAGGACCCTGTTATTATCTCCCAAAAGCAAGACTTTCCTTACCTTCAATGATTCCCCAAGGTGTTTTCCTGCCCAGGACTCTTTTGCCATTCACTTGGTACTCCTTGTCACTGCCCACTACTGCGAAGGGCATGCTTTCCTGCTAGGGAAAGATATGTGGAGACATCTATCAAACCTGTTCTGAGCAGCACCATCACTGTTCCTTAGCCACCTCTCCTCCTCGCACCTCATCAAATGCAAAGCCTTCTGCAAGGGAGGATTCTCCACAGCAAAACTCCACTCATCATTGCTATCCATAGCATTTTGGGCTCTTGCTTTACTGGTGTTCTTGCACCCCCTGGGCTTAGTGTGTACCTTAAATCAATGCCAAAGTCTCCAGAGAAGGGAGTAAAGCTTTTCTGCACACATCTCCAGCATTTCTGAAGGGCAAGGTGACAAGAGAGGAGGTGCTTTGGCATACCAGGTGAGTGTCTATCATCCTGGGGCTCCTCACAGGAATACCCTGCAGAGAGTATTTCTCATCAAGTTTGCAGTTCTTCGCTAGAAAATCTCACAATCCCCTCAACAGAACATATGAATATTCAAAGCTCAATTACTGAAATGGTTGTACTGAGGAAGGCCAGAAAACCCTGGGAAGTGGGACAGTAGGTGAAACTACTGTGGATCAAGATATCTTTATGCACAGGGAGAAAGTTCCTGCTTCCAGAGAACAGACTGTGAGAGATTCTACTACCCATAAAGCTGTCTGCTGTTCATAGATTTATCCTGCTTTGTAGACTTCCCTGGACCTGGGAAGGGATTGCAATTACCACAGGAGTGGGACATTTTATTATTATTTACTCTTTATTATTAAGTTTATTTCTTACATGTGAGACTACCAAACCCAAAGCAATTAGGCTGAAGTACAGAACAAATTGTGGTGCCTTCCTCTCAAACAGTAACAGTTTGGAAAAGAAGCAAAACCCATCTGGTCTCCCCAGAGCGTGTGATGTGTTGCCAAATGGGAAATGATTAATGAATCTGGGGGAGGTGGGAATTTCTGCTGGGGCTGTGGCAGCTAGGGAGCTTGAAGGAGCAAGTGTCAGGCTGCCAGGCAGTTAGTTACTGCTAGAGTTTCTTGACGACTAATGTGGAAGACAATATTTCCATGAATAGTTTAGCCCTAAAAATAATGAGTGGACTAACTAAATGCAGTAGCATCACAAAGCCAGGAGGTGTTGTCAGTACAGAGGCAGACTGGGTTATTATCCAGGAAAATCTAAGTAAGTTTGAGGCACAAAGAATAGCATTTAGGGAACACCAACAAGTTCTGCTATGACTTTTGAGTTTGTGCACAAGCAATGACTGAAAGAGGGGAAGGACCCCATGTGCCAGTCAGTCACAAGATGACCACGAGTCACCAGTGTGATGTGATTTTTAGAGAGCACATGTAGTCCAAGGGCTTAGCAGTTCAGATCTCAGAAAAGACAGAGGAGTATTGGGTACCCACACCAGTGCCAGAAAATCCAATCAAACTAGAGTAGGCACATAAAAAAGTGGTGATGTAATACAGGAGAATGGAAGCTCGACCAAAGGAGCTTGTCTCATTTAGATGACCAGAAAAAGGCCAGTGCAGGATAAGATTGTTCTTTAGCTGATGGGACCAGTAGGTAGGGGAAATGTTTGAGTCAGTGTTGGCACAAGAACACATATAATCCTGGGTACAACCTGTCCATGAACAAACACAGGCTGGAAATTAGATGGTTTCTACTTTTCTGAGGTAGGAAGAATGAGATATCCCTTCTCATAGGAATTAGCAGGGCAAAGCACTGAATTACTTTTCAGGTAGAGTTTGGCCTGAGCTCAAGAGAAGGTTGTTTGGGACAGGGAATGAGCTTGCCCTTTCATCCTTAGCAGAGGCCAAATGGCATTCAGCAAGAGGAGGCAAAGTAGAGTCCTTTCTTTCTCACTCAGCCTTCCTAGCACCCTGTGAACATCACAGGGACAAATTAAACTAGGAAGGATGAATGGCATTCTCTTGTGTCCATTGCACTTTTCACTCAGGGACCACAAAGCACTTAAAACCTAGTGACACATCTGTTCACTCATTAAATCTGACCAGCTCTCAACCACCCTTTCCCCTCCCACAATAAAATGTTTCCTACCCTGATTTTGTCGTTTTCTGTTTTATCCTCCAAGTCCTCATCAAATTCTTTCTGGGGGTAAAACTCGATCCCATTCACTTCTAGCTCTTTGCGCACCTGGGCAGAGAGAAATTTTGCAGCACAAAGCAACACAAACCTAAAGGGAAGGCAGGCAGGATGGTTGGGCAGACATATCTGGGACGTCTTTACAGTGGGGAAGGGCTGGAAGGACTGTCCCTTCCAGGTGTGCAAAGCGAGGACACATGGCAACAGTGACAAGTCTTTGTTCCCCAGCCCCATCTGCTTGTTTGGCTCTGTAATTCCCATGACAGAACATATCATGGAATGTCATAGGGATGCCCACTGTTCTTCCTCCTCTAACGGATGTGATCTCAGAGCCATGGACAGCTGCATCTTCAGGGCAGTGCCAGGACTTACCCACCAATCCAAACTGGACTCTGAGAGCCTTGGGGACTGAACTGCAGTCCCAGCAGAAATGACATGGCTCATCTCTCCCATCTCCCAGGGAGGGAAGGGAGGGATCCCATGCAGAAGGAGAAATACTCACTCTTTGTTTGAATTCGGTCTTCTCCTCCAAGGTCATGGTGTCAGCCTTGGCAATAACCGGGATGATGTTCACTACTTTGCTGAGATGTTTCATGAACTCCAGGTCCAAGGGCCGCAGGCTGCAGCCCAAGAAGGAACAACATGGAAGGGGTCACTTTACCCTCCTTGCCCTTCTAGTGACTCCCAGCATCAGGGCATCTGTGAGGCCTCCATGTTCCCATCCATCCTGCCCACTCCCAAAGAAAGCACAGTGGTGTTTCTCCTGCCTTTGTCAGACCCTTTCAAGCCCTGCCAAATTAAGCTAAGCCAAATTAATGCCAAATTAAGCCCAGCTGGTAGGAATCCTGGTCCTGCGACTGTGACTGAGCAGTACAGGGTGTATATCTGCCACAGTGGCATGAAGGGGGTGAGGAAGGACAGGGAACTGCGTACGTACGAGTGGCCCGTGGGGGAGATGAAGTAGAGGCAGCAGTGCACTCGTGTGTCTGGAATTCGTTTCTTCCTTGCAATATTCACTTCCTCTTTCAAAAATTTTTCATATTGCTCGTTGATGTATTTCTCAATAGGCTCCCAGCTGTTAAGGTGGGAGAAAGAGGTGAATAGAAAGGTACAAATCTCCTCAGATTCCTGCCTACAGCGTTCCCAGCTCTGACAGCATTAAAGCAGAGTTTGGCATTAAGGAAAAACAAAACAAAACAAACAAACAAACAAACAAAACAACAACCCACCACCAGCGGAGATGTTTAAGAGTTTTCCAACTAAGCAAACTGCTATGGAATTCAGAAGTTAAATCAGTGGAAGAGGGGAGAAAAGACCTGATGGTGCCATGCCAGGGGCTGCTGGGGACCAGTCTCTGTGAGAAATGCTGGAAAAATTTGAGTTGCCTGATTCTGGGCAGAACAGCTCAATTTTCAGCTAAAGGAGCACATGTAGAATTCAGTGGAATTCAGTCTGAGAAGGGGATTACAGTTTTTTGCCTGGTTCCATGGCAGTGAGTTGGTCTGGCAGCATGACTGCATTTTACCTGTACTGGGGGGTGAAGGGTTGAGAACAGAAGGAGGGCAGGTGTTTCCTAGTGTTTGAGTGAGGGCAAGGTTTTTAAGGCGTAGAAATAAGCACTCACAATTTAACGTGCACATACCTTTGAGCACACACGTAAACACATGGTGCTCAAAGTTCTGCATCCCAATTACTGACCTCTGAGTGCAACAGGATCCCAGACATTTTCCAATGGTAAGTAGCTGAGCAACACTTCATGTATAAGCATAACTGCAGCCCCTTATGGGACATAAAGGTCTTGATGAGGTAAAACTCACCAGTTCTCATTGTTGATCTGGTCTCCAAATCCCGGGGTGTCGATCACTGTCAGCTTCATTTTGACCCCACCTTCTTCAATAACTGAGAAAGAAATTGCAAATCGTCATAAGCCTCCCTGGGAACCTGCTCCATCATGAGTCTCTGTGTCTTACAAGAGAACAAGAGTGTCCTGCCCTCATCCCTGTGCAGTGGTATAGAGCATTAAATGTGTGCAGATAAGAATCACCAGTGTCTTGGCAAGGGAAATACTTCTAGCACTTTTTCTGCCTCTTGCTTTTGTCTATGACATCAGTGGAATGCACCACTGCATAAGAAAAACATTGGCTATGTCTGAGGTCACCTAAACCTGGCACTTCTCTTTCAGCTTCCCATGGAGAAAGGGCTGCCTTACAGCAAAGTACTGGGTTCTTCTGCATGACCAGGCAGAAGCATCAGCCTCGCCCGCATCCCAGCAGGCTGGCTCTTACCGTGTCCAATAGCTTTGATCTCCACTGTCTTGGGGATCTTCTCCTCCCGATTCCAGCCTGAAGATTTGCGGCTTACTTGGGATTTGAAGAGGGTGTTCACCAGCGTAGACTTTCCCAGCCCACTTTGACCTGAGAATTGCAAAGAGGAAGCTTACAGCATCTGCCACAGCCCAACAATAGAAGCAGACAGAAAGAACAGAGCCAGAATGAAGAAGTGTTGTAGGTATCTCCCTGTCTTGTACAGGGTATCATTTCAGATTGGATAATAGGAAATTTTTTTCTTTGAAAGAGTGGTGATGCATTGAAACAGACTGCCCAAGGAGGTGGTGCAGTCACCATCCCTGGAGGTGTTCAAGAGCTGTATGGATGTGGCACTGAGGGACATGGTAAGAGGGCACGGTGTGGATGGGCTGATGGTTGGACTGGGTGATCTTAGTAGTCTTTTCCAACCTTAATGACTCTATGATTTTCCCAGAGTGAGTGAGCATTGTCTAATCCTTCATGCCCTCCCTTCAGGGCCTGCTCTCCCACCTGGCCTCATGGGAGTGCATCCAGCCATGGTTCCCAGTTCCTCCACCAATCCCTTCCTACCTACAACCATAATGTTGAAGTCGAAGCCTGTCTTCATGGTCTTCTTGCGCATCTGCTCAATGATGGTGTCAATTCCAATGTAGCCCAGTAAGTTGGCATTAATGCCCACGGGTTTCATCGGCACAACTGGCTTTTGTCGTGACTCTGGAACTAGCTCAGACATGGCTGCTTCGTTTTTGTTCTCCACTGGTCCTGCACAGGGAGAAAGATTGAGAAATCACCAGTCAGGTGTGATAAGAACCTCCCTGCTGCCCTGTGGAAGGTAGCTTTAAGTGTCCATTTCAAGGGCTGCTGAGCCCTTGAACAAGACAGCAAGATTTTAGCAGTAAGGCTCTTCATGGAGGAACATCCACTTGAGTTTCCAGTGTATTCTTCTATGTATCACTGTGGATGAGGAGTTGGACAAGCAGGGCTCCTTGAGCATAGAACATGTTGATGGCTATCTCCAAACAGCAGCAGCACACCTAGTGAAGTTGGCTAGGCTCCTCCTAATCAGGGGCTAGAGCACCAGTGTGTGTCCCCTGCTTGATTTGCCTCCCAGTTCTCACCAGGATCCACAACCTCCACACTTGCCTGCTGCCTGCAGATCAGTGCAGTTTGTCATGCCTACCAGTAAACTGTGTTTTGTCCTCCCTCCCCTCCCTGCTTCTTCCATGAAAAACAAACCAGCAGAGAAAAAGGCTCTGAGGGCTTCCTAGCCTCCCTGACTTTTTTTCAGGTGATGGCACACACATTTTGGGACAGGCTTTGGCCATTCATCTCCATCTCTTGCCTCATTAGTGAGCAGCTCCCACTCACCTCAGAAGGAAGCTGGAGGTTGGGAGAAGACAAGGCACAAAGGGAAGCTGTTATTGGTGGGGAAGGGAGGCATGAGGGATGGATCTGGACAGAAAAATGAAAGGGGGATGGGAATCAAGTACCTTTCATATACAAGCAGCTGCAAACTGGAGCTTCTCCCACTCTAATTACTATGCTTTATCTCATTAGATGGTTATTTTTCCAGGACAAAGACAGCATGCTCTTTTGCTTGGTAAGCACTCCTCTTATTCTGGATGCTACTTCCATTCAACTATTTCACACTAAATTATCCCTTTCCATCATTTCAGCAGAGTTTGTTTTTGCTCCTCTCAGCAGATCCCACTGGCTGCAGAAGAGCAAGCGAGTGGCCAGGCAGGTGACTGCCATTTTGGGGTCACTGACAGCACCAGGGAGAGCTCAGCTAGAACAGGCCAGGAGCTGGGCAAAGTGGGGAGATTTTGATCATGGATAGGTGGTCCTGAAAATCTCAGCCTTGAACCAGCTCTGCTAGAGGATGCCCCTGCCTCTCCTCCCCACGGAACAGCACCAGGGGGGGACCAGGGCACATGAGAGAGTGCTGGCCAAGCCAGGCTGGCAATTGGGAACACCCCACACTGCTGGCGGAAGCGATCTGCCTATCTGAGCACTTCTCACAACCCTCTCCTCCAGCCATCACAGCTCACCTGTACTCTCCTGCTGACAGAGCCTCCCCTCAGGCTCCCCGTGTCTTTTTCCAGCTTTCTCAAAGCTGCTGCCAGCCAGAAAACCCTGCTGCATGAAGAGACGAGTCAGCCAGCTCTTCGCTACCCTACCCTTCACTTGTCCTCTCCTGCCTGTCCTGTGCCATCTGTACTATCTTCACATGACTGGGCCATGCCCCAAATCTTGCAGTGCCCACACACAGCTTTGCTCAGTATCTTTTCAATGCTGGAATAACTATGGAGGGGACTAAAGGCAGAAGGGAAAAAGAGCCATTGCTTGTTGTTCCTGGCCACAAGTTGCCAAAGTCTGCCAGAGCAGCCTGCATTGGGGTCCCACCTATCCCAGAGTTTGGGAGAAGGCAGAGAGGGTTGAGATGGAAGGAAGGAGCTGGCAGCCACCATCAGGGCTCACTATAAGGCTGATAACCCATACCTCAATCTCACTGCACTGAAGGACACTTTGCCCACAGCTGTTGCTGACTGCTGTGGACAATGCAATACCCTCCCATCCCTAGGTAGCCTTCACTGCTCAAGTGGCTGGAGCACATATTTCCGAGTCAGGTTCCAACAGCACCTATAAAAAGCCCTGGGATCAGGAAAAAAAAGCTCCAGAAGCCTTCTTAAATAATTCCTGGACTGTTTATCAGTGATGTGGGACTAGGAGTTCTGATTTCAGGGTCAGAAGGCCTCAAGGTAGAGAATACCCCTTTTGTCTCAGTCACTTGCCTTTCCCTCCATGTAGGGTGCTTCCCACACAGTCTCTAAATGGGAACCCGCATTTTACAATGGGATACCTGAGGGCTTTGTGCAATGATTTTCCATCTCTTGGCTCTTGGCTTGGAGGAATCCAAGGAGACAACTGAAGGCCAGCCAGCAGGAGGTCAGGGCATGCGGGACTGGTGCCAGAGCTGTGGGGCACCTCGAGCCACAAAACATGCTTGCCTTGTCCCTAGGGGACAGCTCTGCTTTAGGGGCCATAATGCTAATGCTGTTGCTAAGCCTCATTACAGCTCTGACTGAATGGTCAAGGGTAGCATTATGCATCCCAGGCACATCCCATAGTCCTGCTGACCATTCCCTCCAATGTATCCATTGACAGAGAGCTATGGTCAGTGCAGCTGTGATGAAAAGAGGGTTAGCCAAGGTTAACCACTCACATCCGCTGTTTGCATTACCACCCATTTCCTTGCTGCTTTGTTCTGTGTGCTAAGCAGAGCTGATTTAAGAGGATGGCTGCGGTGATGGGCTCCCTGGCTGCAGGCAGAGCTGCGCACCTGGAGTCAGGGCTTGCAGGGAGAAGAGCAGCTGTGGGTGTCCAGGGAGGCTCCAGTCAGCTCTGCCAACGCACCCCAAAACCTCTCTCTGAAGGCCACAGCCAGCAAGAGGCACCACTACTGCACAACATCCGCGACAAAAATGGCCCTGCAGACCAGCTGTGGGCTCAGACACTGGGACCTCCATCCACAACGCTCTGTGGCAGAGCAGCCCCGATAACCTACATACAGCCTTATCCCCTCCCCCTGCCTTCCCGTCCTTTGTCTGAGTGGCATGAGGGAGGGGGGGCTGCAAGGAGGCGGCCACCACCACAACCTAGCTTTCAGCTCAGGAAAGCTGCTTCACTCCCACGCATCCACGGCCTCGCTGCAGCTCTCCTGCCCTGACTGGAGGCACTGACCCTGATGTGTCACACTCTTTTGCCACCCGTATGGCTCCAGACCTGTGTCCCTGCTCCCCAGACTGAGCATCACAGGGTATTTCAAGCTGGGCAGGGGAACTTATCCCAGCGTTTTGGGCTGACGCAGCCTTGCTGGCAGCAGCCTTCCTCCATGTGCCCTCACTGCTCTGCAGAGGGCTTTGGCTGCAGCCAAATCTAGGGCAGCATGTGCCGAAGCCTCTTCAGAGATGCAGGAGCTGGCACAAGCTGGCATATCCTCAGCTGTACCCTAAGGTAAGGGAATGCTGAGCATCCCAGGACCAGGGCATCCATCCCACCAGAGACACCTATCCCCAGCCCACCCACCAGCTCCCACACAGGTGCCCGGGGAGCAGCACAGAACACCCCACCACCCCAGCAACGACAAGGGACAAGGCAGAGACAGAGCAGCTCATGGGTTTTCCCAGCCCTGGACCAGCTGGGATTATCTCTGTCTTTCAGAGCAGCCCCTGGCGACAGCTACTCTGCATCAGCACCACAACCGCCAAGCCCACTCCAGCTCCTTCGGTGCTACCATTGAAAGATGAGAAGGAAAAATATGAAGCTGATTCCCCCCACTGCCCTCTGGAGATACTGATCCCCAGCAGCGCGGGGGCACAAGAAGCCTGAGTGTCTCTCCAGTATCGCCCAGCCCCGCCAGCCCGCAGCATCCTACCTTTGAACATGAAGCTTCCTTTGTCTGTGAACACTCTCCCCAGGGGGTGGCTCTGCCCCCACTGTCCTAAGCTTGACGCCGGCGCAGCACAGTGGGCTACAACACTCTGCTTTTACCTCTCTCTTTCTTTCCTGTCCTCTTCTACCCCTTCTCCTTCCCTCCTCCTCCAGTGGCTATTTCAGCTGAGCGGAGATGCTGGTGCTGCTCCTGCTGCCACTGTCATGTGACCTGAATATTAAACATCGCTGCAAAATCCCCCCCCCCCGCCCGCGCTCCCTCTCGAGCTCCATTCCTGCTCCCCACAGGGTGGGCACAGCGGTGGGGATGAAGGAGCACCACAGATGGGCTCCATGCACCATGAGGGGGCCTTCGCGCAGCCACCCACCCCTGGCTCCCCCCACATCACCTTCTCCCTCCTGAGCATCCCTGAGTTTAGCTGCCTGTTTGCAGAGGGAGTATTTAACCCTTTGTGGCTGAGAAACCATGCTCCCCGCCTGGATATTTCTTTATTTTAGGGGACGGCAGGGCCTCACAGAGAGGGGAAATCGGGAATTGTGAACAGCTCATTAAGACCCATTTGCCCTTCAGCTCTGCTTGCAGAGGCGTGAGAAACCTCTCCTCCCTTGGCACTGCAATTGCTGGCTGCCTGCCCCCAGTGCAGAGACACAGCCGTCCCCTGTGCATGTGCCTGTGTGTGTGTGTACATGCATGCACACACATGCACAAGGTGCTGCTGGCTGTGTCTGGGAGCTGTGTGGGTCATTTGGCTGCTTCAGAGCAAGATGCCCTTTCCCTCTGTTTTTCCTCCTCCAAGGTCCCCACCATGCACTGTGGCCACTCCAAGCTGTGCCTGGGCACCAACATTTTGGCAGGGTGATGCCAGCACCCAGCTCTGAGGGTCAGTGGCATTCCCCACAAGCATGCCCAGTACAGCTGACTTGGGACAGACGCACAGATAGACAGACAAGGTTCCCCTCCAGACACGCCCCACACCTGGTTCTTCACTGCCCCTCAGCTCTGTCGGGATGAGGGGGAAACCCCCAAAGCCCTCACATTGCCCCACACAGCATCCCTGATGCCCCCCAGCCTACCTCACGGCACACACCTACCAGTGCGTGGGTCCCCGCTGCCCGACATCTTCTCCACCGGTGTGACCTCAGCCCCTCCATGTCCTGACACGAGCCGTGGGCACGGGGCCACGAGGGTGATGGGGGCTGGTGCTCGTGGCCGATGCCAGGGAGCCCCCCCAGCCCCCTGCCGCAGAGTGACCCAGAGGCAGCTCCGCTGGGTGGGAGCAC